AGCTCAGGGGCCAGGCAGGGTGGTCCTGTGGGCTGGATATGGCCCGCAGGCCATAGTTTGCCCACCTCTGGTTTAACTGCATCCCACAGAACTGTGAAAAATTTCCCATCCTGTAGCATACAAGGTTCAGGCACTCGGCAACATTCAGGGCACACCCGGAGCGTTGTGTAGGAGCTGTGCACACACAGCTCCTCTCAAGGGCATGAACCTTGGAATCTCGCCCAGATGACATGAACCGTGGGAAGCCTCCCAGGACTGGGCTCAAGGCCCGAGAGCAAGGAATGCGGTAGATAGAAATTGGTAAATAAGAATGTTAAACAAAGCCAGTGTATTCCTTTTATCTGTTGGAGAATGTAATGCGTGGGGGGGGAGAAAGAATAAAGGAGAGGGTGGAAAGCTGACAGGACCAGTCCGTTGGCAGACCAGCCTGTTTGCTTGCTTAAAGCTTTGTGCTGTCTTGTATTTGAACCGCAACACCATCCTGTGCAATGTAATTAAGCTGACCTAAGCCCCGTGTAGACACCACTAGGTTGACGAAAGAATTTTTCTGTCAAACTAACTACCGCCTCTGGGAGATGTGGATTTATGACAGTGATGGAAGAACCCCTTTCTTGTTGCAGTAGGTGTCTCCGCCACAGTGGGACAGCTGTGGCAGTGTTGCATTTTTAGTGTAAAAAATATTTAACTATTAGGGTATGTCTACTCTTAAATGGTTACAGTGGCACAGCTGTCATAGTGCTTCAGTGTAGAGACTACCAATGCCAACAGGAGGGGTTCTGTCACTGTTGGTAATCCACCTCCCTGAGAAGCGGTAGTTAAATTGATGTCTGTTGAGCTAGCACTGTGAACAATGGGGGTAGGTTGGCATAGCTACGTCTCTCATGGGGTGTGGATTTTTCACACTCCCAAGAGGTGTAGCTATGCCCCTGTACGTTCCCAGGGTAGACCAGCCCTTAGAAGTAAAAGGGCAGCAGTGTCTTTAACTACAGTGGAACATACTTGTAGCAAAGTCAATTTGCCATACCAAAATGTAAGGTCCACCCGTGTGCATGACCATCACTCCCTTCCTACACGATACATTTCCTGTTTGACTGTTTGAGGGTAGGAAAATTATAATATGAAAAAATACATAATACAATAGACATAAAAATTTTAGTTTCTAACAGTAAAGGTTGAACGAAGACACACCCCACCAACTCAAAAACTTGAAAAGCATGGAAATAAAAAGTTAAGGGAAGAATTGCCTGTAGTCCTTACTGCTTTCACATCCCCTGCCGTGTCTTTCACTTCCATCTGCAACAGATCCCAAAAAGCACTACGTACCTCAGCTTCACTGATCTTGCACCTTAATTCAAAAGTTTATTGGTGACTTCTGACACCCTTGTATCAAGAGAGGGGTGCATGTGAAGAGACTATTTTGCAGATTTTATGATGGACTTCAGTGAAGTTACGATTAGTACAAGCAGTTCTTTAAAGAGGGGAGCACTGATACAGCAAAAACAATGGAGAGAGAGGTGCTCACAGAGATTAGTGGTAAAGATAGGGCTTGTTTACACTTCTCTGCAGGACTACCGGGGTGTGAATAGTAGCATGCACCAAAGTGCTGCACCCTTTACTTCCTGGTGTGGGTGCTGCAGACACGAATTTAAAAGTTCCTAGTTCATATTAACTTAGTCCTCTCCAAACAGGGCTACCTTAATGCAAAACAGAAGCCTTTTAGTTTGTGCCAACAGCATCCAGTCAGGGGAGTGACAGTACAGCATTATGGTACACACTGCTGTTCACACTCCTGTAACCTGAACTGTGGGATAGTGTAGACATAGCCTCAGATTAATATTTGCTGCATTTGGGAAAAAGTGATCTTGAGTTAGTCCTCACAGCTGTGGATGGTCCTCCAAATAATCACATTAAAGGGTGCTGTTTAACACTGGCTGAATAACTGACTATTTGGGTCAGGTGCAGGTCTGAAAAATAAAGAGAATCACATTGGGTCAACCCAAAAGTAAACTGTTTCACAATTTTCAGTGACCTGAAATGTTGAAAAAAGTTTCAGTTTAATTTCAAGGGTTTTTTTCAACATTTAAAAAGAAACTTTAAATAAAACTCAGGGAAATTTCAAAATCTTTCTGCAATGAAAAAATATAAATATTTTGTTTTGGAACTACCAAATAAAACATTTTGACATTTCCAAATGTTTTTTCTTTTTTCAGATCTAAACAATGAGCCAAAATTGACCCACATTCGCGAACTGTTTCAATTGAGCTGAATCTGCATTTGTTTTCACCAAAAAAAGGTTTTTGTATGTAAAATTTTGCCAAGCTGTAGTGATTCATTTAAGTCTTATGAGCCAATCCTAAATTTCATCAGCCAATGTTATCTGTCATAGAGTGGCTGGGCTCCTAAAGGAGCAGTAGGCCACAGCCCTACCTGGGACAAGCTTAGCTCATCTCCCCAGATGGGGAGGATGAGTAGATTCATAGATTCATAGATAGATATTTATGTTAGAAGGGACCATTATGATCATCTAGTCTGACCTCCTGCACAATGCAGGCCACAGAATTTCACCCACCACTCCTGCAAAAAACCTCACACCTATATCTGTGCTACTGAGGTCCTCAAATCGTAGTTTAAAGACTTCAAGGAGCAGAGAATCCTCCAGCAAGTGACCTGTGCCCCATGCTACAGAGGAAGGCGAAAAACCTCCAGGGCCTCTTCCAATCTGCCCTGGAGGAAAATTCCTTCCCGACCCCAAATATGGCAATCAGCTAAACCCTGAGCATATGGGCAAGATTCATCAGCCAGATACTACAGAAAATTCTTTCCTGGGTAACTCAGATTCCACCCCATCTGATATCCCATCACAGGCCATTGGGCCTATTTATCATGAATATTTAATTACCAAACCATGTTATCCCATCATACCATCTCCTCCATAAACTTATCGAGTTTAATCTTAAAGCCAGATAGGTCTTTTGCCCCCACTGCTTCCCTTGGAAGGCTATTCCAAAACTTCACTCCTCTGATGGTTAGAAACCTTCATCTAATTTCTAGTCTAAATTTCCTGGTGGCCAGTTTATATCCATTTGTTCTTGTGTCCACATTGGTACTGAGCTTAAATAATTCCTCTCCCTCTCCGGTATTTATCCCTCTGATATATTTATAGAGAGCAATCATATCTCCCCTCAACCTTCTTTTAGTTAGGCTGAACAAGCCAAGCTCCTTGAGTCTCCTTTCATAAGACAAGTTTTCCATTCCTCGGATCATCCCAGTAGCCCTTCTCTGTACCTGTTCCAGTTTGAATTCATCCTTCTTAAACATGGGAGATCAGAACTGCACACAGTATTCCAGGTAAGGTCTCACCAGTGCCTTGTATAACGGTACTAAAACCTCCTTATCCCTATTAGAAATACCTCTCCTGATGCATCCCAAGACCGCATTAGCTTTTTCACAGCCATATCACATTGGCGGCTCATAGTCATCCTATGATCAACCAATACTCCAAGGTCCTTTTCCTCCTCCGTTACTTCTAATTGATGCGTCCCCAGCTTATAACTAAAATTCTTGTTATTAATCCCTAAATGCATGACCTTACACTTCTCACTATTAAATTTCATCCTATTACTATTACTCCAGTTTACAAGGTCATCCAGATCCTCCTATAGGATATCCCTGCCTTCTCAAAATTGGCAATACCTCCCAGCTTTGTATCATCCGCAAACTTTTTTTTTTTTTTTTTTGTGCCGAGGTCAGTAATAAAAAGATTAAATAAGATTGGCCCCAAACCGATCCTTGAGGAACTCCACTGGTAACCTCCCTCCAGCCTGACAGTTCACCTTTCAGTAGGACCCACTGTAGTCTCTCCTTTAACCAATTCCTTATCCACCTTTCAATTTTCCTATTGATCCCTATCTTATCCAATTTAACTAATAATTCCCCATGTGGCACGGTATCAAATGCCTTACTGAAATCTAGGTAAATTAGATCCACTGTGTTTCCTTTGTCTAAAAAATCTGTTACGTTCTCAAAGAAGGAGATCAGGTTGGTTTGGCACGATCTACCTTTTTTAAAACCATGTTGTATTTTGTCCCATTTACCATTGAGTACTAATGAATGAGATCATGACTAACTGAGGCCAGGCCTAGGGATATAAGGGAGAAGCCTGAGGGAGAGCGAGGAGCTGGAGTATTACTGCCTCCCACTGGAGCTACATAGGGCTGGGAGTGTCAGGCAGAACAGAAGCAGCTGGCTTGGAGAAGCTGTTGCAGGTGAGTGCTGTAGGGAATAAAGGGACTGTTTGGATTATAACCCAGCTTCAGGAAGGCAGGCTGGGAACTCCTGATTCAATGAGAGAGACTGAACTCAGCTCTGAAAAGGAGGGATGGGGGACGCCTGATTCCAGGAGAGAGAACTGTTCAAACTGTAGAACTTGGGGCCTGCTGGTGAAGCTGATATGAAGTACTGATGTCTCTATAGGCTAAAGTGGAGCTCCCTCCAGAGGGGAGATGTTTTCAAATTACGTGGAATTGGTGGCATTTTTGAGGAGCCCTGGGAGAAAGGGAAACTGAGGCAGTGTGCTGCAGAACCACCCCAGCCAGGAGAATGCGCTCAGAAGGTGGCTACCTATTTACACTACCTATCTTTCAGTAATCTGACTTGAACATCAAACAGTCGGTGCTACTGACATACTTACTAGTGCAGCAAATATAAAAAAAAAATTCAGAAATAGTCATAATGAGAAAAATAGCCATTTCTTTTACTAACCCTATTGTCCTGTCATAAATGTCCCTTTCCATGCACACTTTGAGAAAATCAGAAATGTTTTAATTTCATGCTGTTCAAGTAATGTAGTATTGGGCTCTTGTAGAGCAGTGCAACAAGAATACCAGAGGTCAGTCTCCTAAGGTCTTTATAATATTGTAAAAATATAATTTATAGACTATACATAGTATTTTGCATATTGAAATATCCAACATTTTGCATTCTGGGTATAATCTCAAATCCTATTCTAAGCCCAACGAATAGTTAATGACTTGGACTATTCCTATAACAACTGGTTGCCAGGCCACCAGATAGTGGAGCCAATCCAACAGTTGCCCATACAAAACAGGTGTACGCTCCCACCTAAGCTACTGTTAAGAAAACCTGCTGCCAAGATTGTTTAAAGGTGAAAAGAGATTTGGTATGACATTAGTTCCTTCATCAATAAGTGAAGAAAAGTACTTGTTTCATTTTCTCTAACATAGTGCTCTCTGGTTCCTCTAAAGCAGTGATACTCGGATTGTTGCTCATGACCCGCAAGTGGGTCTTTAATATGTCTCCTGCAGCTCTTTGCAGCATGTGATATTAAAATACTGAGTGACTTAATTATTCACCAATCTAAGTTATTAACCAATTAAGTTATCAACTTGCATGAAGTTATTAACTTATTTGCTGTGAGAATAATTTTATTTTTATATATAACTGTTCAATAGGGGAAATATGAATAGTACTAAAGTAAATGAAATAATGCATTCACTACTGAGGCTCTTTTGGGTAATGTTGATTGCTAATTTGGCTCCTGAACCACTGAGGTCTGAGTATCACTGCTCTAGATAATTGTATTTTGAACGATATTCTCATAAAAATGTTTAAAGTAAAATTTAAACAGCTTCCCCAAGGGGAATTGAAATGGGTTGAAAAAGTCAGTAGGACAAACTCTGCTTCAACTTGAATGGGGTTTCACAAATGCAGCAGCAGAACTTGAGCTACTGTCCTTCCTTCTGGAGAAACTAGGAGAGAGAACTTTTGTTTACTAACTAGTAAGAAGGAAGTAAAGAAATCTGCTGCTATTTTAACTGGCTTTTTTTTTTCTTTTCTTTATTTTACTCCCACCTCTCTCCACTGGATTATAACAAACTAGCAAAGTCAAAAGAATTAAAAAATTCAAGTAAAAAACACACCTTTTAAGAAAAGGAGACGGGTTACTTAACTTTCTCTTTAAATCAACTTTCTCGCTGCAGTATGGGCAAGTCTGCTTTTTGCCAACAATGCACCAACCTCGGATGCAAAATTCATGAAATCTTGCATCCGGTAAGGATTCTTTCAAATATAACCAAGGAACAATACATGCTTCTGTGAACTTATCTACAGATTTGAATTATTATTGATTGTGCACACTGCACTGCTATTTATCTCAGGCACTTACACAAGTCACTTAACCTCTCTGCATCAGTTTCCTCAACTAAAAATGGGGATAATGATATTTACCCAACTTGGATACAAAGCATGCCACACAAGTTCATATTATATTTATTATTATTAATTTTATTATTAGATATGGGCCCAAGGCAAAATTCTGGATGTGGACATCCTTGAGTTTTGGAATAACTGGAATCCAGAGCCAAATTTAGTAATACCTGGCCCTATTCTTGAATGGGCTGAAGCACACAATCTCAGATCAAAATTCTCTTGAATTTCACAGCTTGGGTCTATAACTATTCTCTTGAGAGTCTAAGGACACTGTTAAAGAAAAAAGTACAGTTGAGCATTTGAAATGCATGGAAAGTCAGGAACCTTGTGAAGTTGTTGCAAAGTAGGTTATAATTTCTTTTTTAATTTCGGGGAGAGGGGATTAAATGTGTAATTAGTTGTAAACTACTTAAATTAAGCTATTAAAAAGTGATATCTGTTACCTTATTACAGCTTTAAAGGTCTCCTGTCCTTGTCATGCTTTCATATATTGAGTCTGATTCTGATCCCACTTTCACTCATGCAAATTTGGGGGTAACCTTACCTGAAGTCAGTCACACCAGTGTAACTAGGCTAGGTGAGTGAAGAATTAGGCCCTTGGGTGAGATCCACAAAGGTACTTAGGTGCCTTAAGTTTAGGGTTTAGATGCCTAAGTCCCAGTTCCACAAAACCCTGTAGGCTCCTAAACTAACTCAATGCCTAACTTTCTGCCTCTGAGCCTGTGCACTGATGCCTATCTCCTGCCTAAGCCCAGAGCACTTCATGAACCAGGGGAAGATGAACATTTGTCTTTCTAATTTGCACGCAGCGCCCAATTGGGTAGAGTGCTGAGACACTACCTACCGGATCGGGTCCCATTCAAAACCTGGCAGCAGGAGGCGCCCACCTTAACTTTTAGCTCAGTGGTTAACACTCTCACCTGGGATGTGGGAGACCCAGGTTCAATTTACCCCTCAGGCAGAAGGGGTGAAATAATTTTAAACAGGGATCTCCCATCTCTCATAAGCATGCTCTACTTGGGGGTGGCCAACCTGAACCTGAGAAGGAGCCAGAATTTACCAATGTACATTGCCAAAGAGCCACAGTAATATGTCAGCAGCCTCCCATTAGTTCCCCCACCACTCCCAGCGCCTCCCGCCCATCGGCAGCCCCGCCAATCAGCACCTCCCACTTCCTCCCCACACCTCCCGATCAGCTGTTTCATGGAGTGCAGGAGGCTCTGGGGGAGAGGAGCAAGAGGGTGGGAAGGGGTGGAGTGGGGGCAGGGCCTGTGGCAGAGCCAGGGGTTGAGCAGAGGGCAACCCCCAGCACATTGGAAAGTTGGTGCCTGTATCTTCAGCCCCAGAGTCGGTGCCTATACAAGGAGCCGCATATTAACTTCTGAAGAGCCACATGTGGCTCCGGAGCCACAGGTTAGCCACCCCTGCTCTACTCCTAGACCTATGGCTTCCTTAATCTCCCCTGCTGAAGCTCTTCTCCTTTGTATAAACAATTAGTGACTAGAGCGGGGGACTGGATCCTGGTTAGGGTGGGTGTCTTAACCATCAGGCTACAGTTATTCTCCTTGTCCCTGCATCCACCGAATGACTATTTAAGTTTTTATCTACAGTGGGACAGTATAATCAGGAGAGATTAAAGGAGCCCCGCATCAGCCCCAGACCTCTGGAGTGATGGGAGACCCCTGTTTAAATCCCCACCCCCCATACCTCTGCCTGAGGGGGAACCAAACCTAGATCGCTCACATCCATGGTGGCCATATTTCCCTGTGCTGAATATGGGACACTTGGTAAAATTACTCTTATTCAAGCGATTTCAATGGCAATCATTCCAAACTACGCAGTACAAATATTCAAATTAACATCAAGTTGACTGAGCCCTTGTTAAAAAGAAATACTGCAGAGTTGGATTATTTTTATTTACCTTATTATTTTTAAGGCTTTAGGGCTCACACGGTGAGAGGACCCCCCCCCCACCTGTCTGATATTGGGAGTGACCGACCCTCCCTGCCCAGCGCTCTCTGCCCTCCATGCCTGGCTGGGCCCCTGGGATGGACCCACCTTACCTGGTGTTGCGTCCAACCAAGGCACCATGTGGAGGGGGAAATGCAGGGTCAAATCCCCCCTACCCCAGATTTCTGTGAGGATTCACACCAGAATGTGGCCAGCAGCAGCCTTTTTGCACTGTGCGGAAGGGAAGGAGCAGGACCTGCCTCCAGCTGCACAGTGCCGGGGAGGGATGACCTGGCCAGTGTCTTTGCAGAGCTCATCTATTTTTTTTCCTCCTCTTCCTGCCCCCCCTCACCTCCACGGCTGGAAGCAGTTTGTCCCTTCCTGCCCGCACAGTGTTGAAAGGCAGCTAACACCTCCAGGTTGCTGCTGGCCACCAACATATAACTCAGCCACCTCCTGTCCCCAGGCTACAGTATGGGCAGGAAGGGGTTAAGTCCTAAGGATGCATTGTGCAGCAGGGCCCAGAGACCCTGATTGCAGGGGCTTCAGCAAACCAGGCCAGAGAGGTGGCTCAGTGGGGGAGGACAACTAGGGGCGGGTGAAGAGGGTGCTAAACCCCTGCCCAGGGGGCTGATGTTAACCCTGCAGGGTCAGGGCGCAAACAGGCTGGAAATCACTTTCCCTCACCACTCCAGAGCTTAGCTGAGGGGCAGAGAGGATTCCCTGTGCTGTGTGGAGCTTTGGCGCATGCAGGGCTCAGCTCCTCCGGACAGCGCCCCGGGATGGAGGGTCTTGGGCTTTCCTGGGGTGCCAGCCCAGCCAGAGGCAGTGGGGGAAGGAAGGAGCCTGCCAGCCAGGCTTAGTGAGCTTAGCGTTCTGACTGGGGGCTGGTTCTCTGCACAGTGCTGAGGGGATAGGGAGGAGCTGCAGGGGGCGAAGGGGCAAAGCAGGGAGGACAGCAAGAGGGGAAGCACCTAAAAGGCCGATGGGTGGGCAGCAGAGGTGAAACGTAATGGCCATCGCCTGGCACTTGCCCGCACTCACCAGCCACCACAGCATGCATCCAAAAACGCGACTGGGGGCAGAGCCCTGCTAGACGATAGCTGGCACGCAGTGGGGGCTCTGCGGACAGACCAGCAGGGGGAGGGGCCAGCCCCGCCACCAGCCTTGCATACCCACTGGGCCCTCCACTACCACTGGTAGGCGGGCAGCTGGCAAGCAGGGATCTGACCAGCAGCAAGACCTGCCAGTACTAATGGGGGGAGAGAAGGGGGAGATGGACAATTTGCACATTTTAAAGAAAAAGTCACGACACCTGCAGGAGGGCTTAAGTATGGGACTGTCCCTTTAAAAACGGGATGCCTAGTCATCCTACCCACATCCCACGTGAGTGCATTAACCATGAGGCTAAAAGTTATGGGGTGAGCAGCAGCTCCATTTTATGTGTGAGACAGGTGCCTAACTCATTCCTGCAGGAAACTTCTTAGGTGTCTAAGCTGCCTTACTTCAAGAGATGTGTTTTCATTTGTGGACCGCTAAGCAAAGACGGGCATCTCCCTGCAGCCCAGAGGCAGTAGCCTACCTCTGAGAGTGGGGCAGGGATTATCACACACCTCTTTTGTTGATCTCTCTAATGTGCTGGCTTTTGTGGCTCACACTCCGATCTCCCCATTTATTGTATAGGGAGTCTAGGTGCCTAACTCAGGCTTTGTGGATCATAGTGGTGTTCCTGTGATTGTTTTTTTTCTTCTTTTTTTTTTCTAGGAGCCTACAAGTTAGACACTGTGATGCTCAGCAATGCAATGACTAAATCCCTTGTGGATCAGGCCCTTCTGTCTTAACCTATGGTACATCAGATGGCAGCATTGGCTCAGTGAAACTGCGTCTCTCACTCGGTGAAATTCAACTTGCAGCTCCTCTGTTCTATGGCACTGATTTTTCTGGAGAAGGATATGCAAATGCTGCTGCTACGCAGTCAAGCTATTATTGAACTGTAGATATGGACCGCTACATAGAAAGTGGGCAATGGTCATAGATTCTAAAGCCAGAAGGGACCATTATGATCATCTAGTCTGACCTCTATACCACAGGCCATAGAAATGCCCAAAATTAATTCTTTTAGAAAAAAAGCCAATATTGATTTTTAAAATGGTCAGTGACAGAGTATCCACCATAACCATTGGAACAATTTACCTAGGTCAATTACTCTCACTGTTAAAAATATACACCTTTATTTCCAGTTCGTATAAACAGTAATCAAGTCACCCCTTAACCTTTGCTTTGTTAAGCTAAACAGATAGACCCTTGAGTCTGTCATTGTAAGGCAAGTTTTCTGTTCTCTTGGCTTATCTCTGAACCCTCTCCAATTTTTCAACGTTGTTCTTGAATTGTGGTCAGCAGAACTGGACATAGTATTCCAGTAGCAGTCTCACCAGTGCCAAATACAGAAGTAAAATAACCTCTCTATGCCTCGAGATTCACCTGTTTATGCATCCAAAGATCAGATTAGCCCTTTAGGCCACAGCCTTGCAGTGGGAGCTCATAGTCAGCTGATTATCCACCATGATCCCCAAATCTTTTTCAGAGTCACAGTTTTGCAGGATAGTCCCCCATCCTGTAAGTATGGCTTGCCTTCTTTGTTCCTAGAGGTATATATTTACATTTTAGCCATGTTAAAAATGCATATTTGCTTGCTTGCACCCAAGTTACCAAGCAATCCAGATCACTCCGTATCAGTGGCCTGTTCTCTGAATTATTTTCCACTCCCACGATTTGTGTGTCATCTGCAAACTTCATCAGGGATAATTTCATGTTTTCTCCCAGGTCTTTGATAAGTGTTAAATAGTGTGGGGCCAAGAACAGAGCCGTGTGGGATCCCACTACAAACACACCCATTCAATGATGATTCCCCATTTACAATTACGTTTTGAGGCATGTTACGTTAGCCAACTTTTAATTCATTTAATATGTGCCATATTAATTTTATATCATTCTAGTTTTTAATCAAACTGTTGTGCAGTACCAAGTCAAATGCCTTACAAAGGTCTATGTACATTACATAAAACGCTGTTATCTTTATCAATCAGGCTTGTAATCTCAGGTTTGTCCCAGGGGCCTGCTGCCTCTGTGGTCACTGGGAGCTGCAGGAGGCCGGTGCTTGCAAAATGTCTCATGGCCTGCTTATCCTGATAGGCCGCAGGTTGCCCACCACTGGGTTAGCTGCTTGATGCACATGAGTTTCAGTAGCTTGGGAAGCAAGCATTGCATGGTAGCACTTAAACTTAAGTCTTCCACTAAACCTCATGTGAGCAGACAGGCTACTTATTCCATATTCCTATTTTTACCTTTTGTGCTGTGGTTTCTTTGATTGTGTTCATTTATTTCTTTCCCCTCCCCCGCCCCCCCACTGTTTGTTGCTAATTTGTTTTATTTTTGGTGCAACAGCAAGAAAAGAGGAAACCATTATTTCATAATTGAATTGAAAGGATACACATGATTGCATGACAGCTGGTAGGTATTTTCAATGATCCCTTCCTCATTTATGTCCACAAAGATTTTCTGTCTACAGACTGCACAGATGTTGTTGGACAAATTTCTTGTAGGCATCCCACTGACATTATAAAACTGCTGCATATTTATAGTGGGGGTGAGAGAAACAACATTTTCCATTAGGGCCAAGGAGATACAAATAACTCAGTGTAAGTCCACAATGGACACAAGTGTTAAGGAAAGGAATGAAAGAAGCTAAAACTGTTTTAGATACTAGTGACAGAATGTATAGATCCTGCCATGTAGGTGGTATGGAGAGAATTAAAACCTTCTTGCTGAGAAGAAAATTTCAATAAGTATCTCTCTTGCAAAGCCTGCCAAACACCCCAGACTTAGGGAATGCAGGTGTCCTTAGTGAAGGCTAATTGCCTCATTAAGAAGAAAAGTCAAGAATTTCAAAAAGGGAAAGATTTAAAGACTCTTTCACTGGGTTTTGGAGAACTAAGAAGCAGACCCACCTATGGAAATGAGGAGTCTTTTTTTAGTTTCTTGTTTATATGGACTCAGGTTGAGAGAAATGCTATTTTTGCCTTTTTTTGTTTTGTTTTTGTTTGGAACAGCCCTCTATATTGCTATATAGGGATTGTCTCCTAGCTCAGACCATTGCATACTCACTGGTTTGTAATACTGTATTAAGAAATTCCTTTTGAAACTAAGATCAGTAAGAAAGTAGGAGAGTTTGCCTATGGCACAATAAACGTTGTCTTTAAGGAAAGATTAGTTAAATTTCTGGAAAGAGTATGGGGGCCTTTCTTCTAGAGTAGGAGTACAACTAGACTCAAAAGCTCATTCCCAGTCAATCTGACTTTCATTCAAAATAATGAAACCAGCACTTACCCCATAGTGGAAGCCATGTAATCAGAACAAATCTCTGCAAAGTCTCTTCCCATCACTCCATAGTAGAGTCCATAAAACAGCAAAATCACACCAAAATCCATGGAATCTTCAGTCTTGATTCTGTATAAAAACAGATAAAAAACAGCATATGGGTGTGTTTGCTCGTGTACAGAATTATAAGGAGAAAGTATCAAACTGATTTTTTACTCCTAATAGCTCTGGCTTTTGTTTTTCCTCATTACAACTCAGTTTTTAATTTCCTTCGGAAGCCAACTTCATATTTGTGGTGTAATAAGAAACACAACATTAATCTCATAAAGTATGCTCTAACAATTTCTGTTATCTTATAGAACTTAACTCTATCTAAATATTATAGAAAGTGCAAAATTGCATTTTTTTCCAAGGGAAAAATTGTTAAACTACAAATGAATTAGGTAGACCTTTTATTGTTTTGAGGAAGCAACAAAATCACCCAATACTTAGTAAAAATGTAAGATGCCTTTCAAATAAATGCTAAATTATTTTAGCTGAAATAATTCATCCTGGAAAAAATGCTCAACAGTAAAGTTCACTATACTGCAGTAAATGAAGTTTAGAAGTCGAAGCACTACACAAAAATAACAGTCAGGAATTGTGAAGATACTGTGATCTAAATAAAAAGGTTAACTATGATGTTAATAAGGCTTATTGTTAAGTCACCTTCTACAGTAGTTTACGTTATACAATATTAGTTACTTATAGCACCCAGAAGATTACTAGGTATCATAGAATATCAGGGTTGGAAGGGACCTCAGGAGGTCGTCTAGTCCAAACTCCTGATCAAAGCAGGACCAATCCCCAACTAAATCATCCCAGCTAGGGCTTTGTCAAGCCTGACTGAAAACCTCTAACCTAGGGAGATGGTGGAATCTCCTTCCTAATTCATTCCAGTTCTTTATAGATCAGGTCCCTGTCCTGCTGAGTTTACAAACCTAGTGAGGTAAATAGAAAGGAGCATAAACACTGCCAAATTAAGTGTAAAAATGTAATAAAAAAAACCAAAAAGGAGTTTGAAGAACAGCTTGCCAAAAACTCAAAAGGTAATAACAAAATGATTTTTAAGTACATCAGAAGCAGGAAGCCTGTTAAACAACCAGTGGGGCCCCGGGATGATCGAGATACAAAAGGAGCACTTAAGGACGATAAAGTCATTGCAGAGAAACTAAATGAATTCTTTGCTTCAGTCTCCACGGCTGAGGATGTTAGGGAGATTCCCAAACCTGAGCCATCTTTTGTAGGTGACAAATCTGAGGAATTGTCACAGATTGAAGTGTCACTAGAGGAGGTTTGGGAATTAATTGAGAAACTTAACAGTAACAAGTCACCAGGACAATATGGCATTCACCCAAGAGTTCTGAAAGAACTCAAATGTGAAATTGCGGAACGATTACCTCTGGTTTGTAACCTGTCTTTTAAATCAGCTTCTGTACCCAATGACTGGAAGATAGCTAATGTAATGCCAATATTTAAGAAGGGCTCTAGAGGTGATCCTGGCAATTACAGACTGGTAAGTCTAACGTCAGTACCGGGCAAATTAGTTGAAACAATAGTAAAGAATAAAATTGTCAGACACTTAGAAGAACTTAAATTGTTGGGCAAAAGTCAACATGATTTCTGTAAAGGGAAATCATGTCTTACTAATCTATTAGAGTTCTTTGAAGGGGTCAACAAACGTGGACAAGGGGGATCCCAGTGGACATAGTGTACTTAGATTTCCAGAAAGCCTTTGACAAGGTCCCTCACCAAAGGCTCTTACGTAAATTAAGCTGTCATGGGATAAGAGGGAAGATCCTTTCATGGATTGAGAACTGGTTAAAAGACCGGGAACAAAGGTAGGAATAAATGGTACATTTTCAGAATGGAGAGGGCTAACTAGTGGTGTTCCCCAAGAGTCAGTCCAAGGACCAATCCTATTCAACTTATTCATAAATGATCCGGAGAAAGGGGTAAACAGTGAGGTGGCCAAGTTTGCAGATGATACTAAACTGCTGAAGATAGTTAAGACCAAAGCAGACTGTGCAGAACTTCAAAAAGATCTCACAAAACTAAGGGATTGGGCAACAAAATGGCAAATGAAATTTAATGTGGATAAATGTAAAGTAATGCACATTGGAAAAAATAACCCCGACTATACATACAATATAATGGTGGCTAATTTAGCTACAACTAATCAGGAAAAAGATCTTGGAGTCATTGTGGATAGTTCTCTGAAGATGTCCATGCAGTGTGCAGCGGCAGTCAAAAAAGCAAACAAGATGTTAGGAATCATTAAAGGGATAGAGAACAAGACAGAGAATATCTTATTGCCCTTATGTAAATCCATGGTATGCCCACATCTTGAATACTGTGTACAGGTGTGGTCTCCTCATCTCAAAAAAGATATACTGGCATTAGAAAAGATTCAGAAAAGAGCAACTAAAATGATTAGGGGTTTGGAAAGGGGCCTATATGAGGAGAGATTAAAGAGGCTAGGACTTTTCAGCTTGGAAAAGAGGAGACTAAGGGGGGGATATGATAGAGGTATATAAAATCATGAGTGGTGTGGAGAAAGTGAATAAGGAAAAGTTATTTACTGGTTCCCATACTATAAGAACTAGGGGCCACCAAATGAAATTAATGGGCAGCAGGTTTAAAACAAATAAAAGGAGTTCTTCTTCACACAACACACAGTCAACCTGTGAAACTCCTTGCCTGAGGAGTTGCGAAGGCTAAGACTATAACAGGGTTTAAAAGAGAACTGGATATTCATGGACGTTAAGTCCATTAATGGCTATTAGCCAGGATGGGTAAGGAATGGTGTCCCTAGCCTCTGTTTGTCAGAGGGTGGAGATGGATGGCAGGAGAGAGATCACTTGATCATTACCTGTTAGGTTCACTCCCCCTGGGGCACCTGGCATTGACCACTGTCGGTAGACAGGATACTGGGCTGGATGGACCTTTGGTCTCACCCAGTATGGCCGTTCTTATGTACAATCTAATCATACATACTGTACACACGCATAAAAGAACAACAGATGATATATAAACTTTACAAACTCCCCAGGCTTTTCTTTGCCTCATCTCCAGTGCTCCCATAGCTCCAAACCAATGCTGCCTGTAAACATTAAATGGGTACTTTCAAGGTTATCCAGTCACTCCCATCTGGGAAGTACATGTAATATTTTAGGCAGTTTTCCAAAACATTTCATTTCATGTTTCCTTCTAAAAATCAGTATTACAAACACTGTTTTCTTATCAGCAACTGTAGACGAACAAGCCACTCTGTTTCTTTACTTATTTGCATACACAGATTGGAGGGTATAATGCAATAACTGCCCTGAAGGAGACCCAAATAAGGGTCTTTTGTTCCCTAGCCATTAGTGGCTGCAAGTGCTGTGGGGGGTGGCATGAACTTGGGCGAAGGTAACTCCTAATATTCCTCCATAGAAATTTGTATAGTTGCTTCTGCATTGGCATTGATGATGGGCTGTGGAGGTAGCAAAATTCAGCCTTTCAATCCAAGAGCAGCCATATAGGCCAGGACTCTCTGGGAGGCCAGAAACTTCCCCCAGGAGTACGCTCTCACAGACCTGGGAGCCTCCCATGAGGCATAAGAATGCACTGCTAATTTTTCCTGAGAGGAGGGGAGACACGGAGAGCCTTTAAAATGAGTGCAGTGGTTGTTTCCATGAATTTGGGGGTGGAGTGGTGGGTTTGGTTAAAACCTTGATTGGATTTTGGCACAGGAAAGGAAATTTTGTAAATATCCTTAAAACAATTAATCAGTAGGGAGATGTGTAATAGTGTGTGGAATGAGTTGGGTTAATGAGAACAGAACTGAAGCTAGGGGTAAGAGTCAAAATCAAAAAAAGAAAAAACTAAACAATACAATAGATGAGTAGAGAGGCAATTGGACATAGCCATATATAAAGAGGAACTACAAGATGTGTGCTAAACATCACTCTGATCACCATGTTTATATATTTTATTTCTGTCCCTTAGCCTGTGAATGCATCATCTGCTGTGCAAATCCCATTGCAGAGCAGGGCCTTACTTAACAGTTAAAATAAGTGGTTAGAAGTGCAAACACTGTGGTGGTATGTAATTTTATTTTTTCCCCTTCTAATCCAGGAATACAATATATGAAGCCACTAAAGCAGTTTAAGTATCAAGTCTCAGATTAATTGTGCAAAAAAAAAAAAATCAAGAAACAAGAGAAAATGTAAACCTGTGTCCTAAGCTATAGTTATTTGTTTGACGCGGGGAAAAGATTAGATTTCAGGTGAAAGTTTTCATTGCAACCATCAAAGTTTATAAAAATTCTACATAAAAGGCATATTTTGAAAGTAATAAGAGACACACAATTTGAAGATTACCTGAAGATACTTACTGAAAGACTAAATTAAATCCAAACATGGTAAACATTATATCTAAATAACCCACAATTCCAACTGCATAACTCAGTTTATAGAGAAGAAGAAACCACTTGTAGACCAACCTGTGGATCAGAGAAAAGGAAACATACTGAAGATCTCCAAAATCTCATACAGTATCGTATCTTAGACTGCTACATCTTTTTACAAATTCAGTTTCCAGCAAAAGCAAGTTTAAAAATGTCCTTTGTCTATATTCAAAATGAAACTGGGATTAATATCCATTTGGACGGAACCTCCTTTCTTATCACAAGAAATTGGTGTATCACCACACAGGCATATTTAGCAAAATGACATTACCGAGAAGGTACCCTGGTAATGCTCCACCAAAAGACGACTAGTGATCATTAGGATTTACTGCTGTGAGTAGTCGCTTTTGAAGTAAATGATAGTGCTCAAATGGAGCTACTCACTGTAGTAAGCACCATGCTGTAGTGTTCGTGGGGTGAGGCCCATAGCTGAATATAGGAGTTAAGATACACATATATGGTGGTTTCAGAGTAACAGTCGTGTTAGTCTGTCTTTGCAAAAAGAAAAGGAGTACTTGTGGCACCTTAGAGACTAACCAATTTATTTGAGCATGAGCTTTCGTGAGCTACAGCTCACTTCATCGGATGCATACCGTGGAAACTGCAGTAGACATTATATACACACAGAGACCATGAAACAATACCCCCTCCCACCCCACTGTCCTGCTGGTAATAGCTTATCCAAAGTGATCATCAAGTTGGGCCATTTCCAGCACAAATCCAGGTTTTCTCACCCTCCGCCCCCCCACACACAAACTCACTCTCCTGCTGGTAATAGCCCATCCAAAGTGACCACTCTCTTCACAATGTGTATGATAATCAAGGTGGGTCATTTCCAGCACAAATCCAGGTTCTCTCACTCCCTCACCCCCCTCCAAAAAACCACACACACAAACTCACTCTGCTGCTGGTAATAGCTTATCAGAAGTGACCACTCTCCCTACAATGTGCATGATAATCAAGGTGGGCCATTTCCAGCACAAATCCAGGTTTTCTCACCCCCCCACCCCCATACACACACAAACTCACTCTCCTGCTGGTAATAGCTTATCTAAAGTGATCATTAAGTTGGGCCATTTCCAGCACAAATGCAGGTTTTCTCACCCTCCGCTCCCCCCCGCCACACAAACTCACTCTCCTGCTGGTAATAGCCCATCCAAAGTGACCATTCTCTTCACAATGTGTATGATAATCAAGGTGGGCCATTTCCTGCACAAATCCAGGTTCTCTCACCCCCTCACCCCCCTCCAAAAACCACACACACAAACTCAATCTCCTGCTGGTAATAGCTTATCCAAAGTGACCACTCTCCCTACAATGTGCATGATAATCAAGGTGGGCCATTTCCAGCATAAATCCAGGTTTTCTCACCCCCACACCCCCATACACACACAAACTCACTCTCCTGCTGGTAATAGCTCATCCAAAGTGACCACTCTCCCTACAATGTGCATGGTAATCAAGGTGGGTCATTTCCAGCACAGATCCAGGTTTTTTCAACCCCCCCCCGCCCCCGGGAACATACACATAAACTCACTCTCCTGCTCGCAATAGCTCATCCAAACTGACCACTCTCCAAGTTTAAATCCAAGTTTAACCAGAACGTCTGGGGGCGGGGTAGGAAAAAGCAAGGGGAAATAGGCTGCCTTGCATAATGACTTACTCACTCCCAGTCTCTATTTAAGCCTAAATTAACAGTATCCAATTTGCAAATGAATTCCAATTCAGCAGTTTATTGCAGGAGTCTGGATTTGAAGTTTTTTTGTTGTAAGATAGTGACCTTCATGTCGGTGATTGCGTGACCAGAGAGATTGAAGTGTTCTCCGACTGGTTTATGAATGTTATAATTCTTGACATCTGATTTGTGTCCATTCATTCTTTTACGTAGAGACTGTCCAGTTTGACCAATGTACATGGCAGAGGGGCATTGCTGGCACATGATCGCATATATCACATTGGTGGCTGTGCAGGTGAACGAGCCTCTGATAGTGTGGCTGATGTTATTAGGCCCTGTGATGGTGTCACCTATGGGATAGATATGTGGGCACAGTTGGCAACGGGCTTTGTTGCAAGGATAGGTTCCTGGGCTAGTGGTTCTGTTGTGTGGTATGTGGTTGTTGGTGAGTATTTGCTTCAAGTTGCGGGGCTGTCTGTAGGCAAGGACTGGCCTGTCTCCCAAGATTTCTGAGAGTGTTGGGTCATCCTTCAGGATAGGTTGTAGATCCTTAATAATGCGTTGGAGGGGTTTTAGTTGGGGGCTGAAGGTGACAGCTAGTGACGTTCTGTTATTTTCTTTGTTAGGCCTATCCTGTAGTAGGTGACTTCTGGGAACTCTTCTGGCTCTATCAATCTGTTTCTTCACTTCTGCAGGTGGGTATTGTAGTTGTAAGAAAGCTTGATAGAGATCTTGTAGGTATTTGTCTCTGTCTGAGGGGTTGGAGCAAATGCGGTTGTATCGCAGAGCTTGGCTGTAGACGATGGATCGTGTGGTTTGGTCAGGGTGAAAGCTGGAGGCATGTAGATAGGAATAGCGGTCAGTAGGCTTCCGGTATAGGGTGGTGTTTATGTGACCATTGTTTATTAGCACTGTAGTGTCCAGGAAGTGGATCTCTTGTGTGGACTGGACCAGGCTGAGGTTGATGGTGGGATGGAAATTGTTGAAATCATGGTGGAATTCCTCAAGGGCTTCTTTTCCATGGGTCCAGATGATGAAGATGTCATCAATATAGTGCAAGTAGAGTAGGGGCTTTAGGGGACGAGAGCTGAGGAAGCGTTGTTCTAAATCAGCCATAAAAATGTTGGCATACTGTGGGGCCATGCGGGTACCCATAGCAGTGCCGCTGATCTGAAGGTATACATTGTCCCCAAATGTAAAATAGTTATGGGTAAGGACAAAGTCACAAAGTTCAGCCACCAGGTTAGCTGTGACATTATCGGGGATAGTGTTCTTGACGGCTTGTAGTCCATCTTTGTGTGGAATGTTGGTGTAGAGGGCTTCTACATCCATAGTGGCCAGGATGGTGTTATCAGGAAGATCGCCGATGGATTGAAGTTTCCTGGGGTGAGGGAGTGAGAGAACCTGGATTTGTGCTGGAAATGACCCACCTTGATTATCATACACATTGTGAAGAGAGTGGTCACTTTGGATGGGCTATTACCAGCAGGAGAGTGAGTTTGTGTGGGGGGGGCGGAGGGTGAGAAAACCTGGATTTGTGCTGGAAATGGCCCAACTTGATGATCACTTTGGATAAGCTATTACCAGCAGGACAGTGGGGTGGGAGGGGGTATTGTTTCATGGTCTCTGTGTGTATATAATGTCTACTGCAGTTTCCACGGTATGCATCCGATGAAGTGAGCTGTAGCTCACGAAAGCTCATGCTCAAATAAATTGGTTAGTCTCTAAGGTGCCACAAGTACTCCTTTTCTTTTTTCATATATGGTGCTAACTTTAACTTTCATCCTTACTCATTTACATTTGAAGTTTGATAAAGTTCACCAACCAAAAGCATATTTAGGCACCTAAATAAAAGGGGCTTGATTTTTTTCTAGGTGTTATTCAAATGTAGCAACGTGATTAATACAATGTCTTAATCTACAACTATTAAATGGCCTTTGTGCCATTTATTAAACTTTGTGAACATTCCCCACATGGACAGAAATTGCCACCAGTAAAGTTTGATGGTGAAATACAAAGGAACAACCCACATCTGCAGGAGGGTTACCAGCTGTCAGGGAAATACAGAAAGTCACTTTAAACTACTGAGAGCCTAGAAATCTGTGTTACATCATTACTTAAAGTATATTGACAAACCAGAATAGTGACAAACCACTACAAAATCTATATTGGATCGTTTGTACAGCACTGAGCACAATGGGGCCTAGATACTGATTTGGGCACTACTGCATTATAACTAATGTATAGCGATGATGATTTTGTTCTCATTTACAGCACTGTAGCTCAGGAATAATTCCAATTCAGTGAACAGCTACACGGTTATAAAACTGGGGTAAATAAAATCAGAAATCAGGCCCATAATCAAAAGGCCATATCCTCCGTTGATGTCATGCCATTGAAATCAACTGATTTTAAAAAAAATCAATTTACATTTAAAAGTAACTAATACTAAAGTTCTTGAGCCAAAATCTCTGAAATCAATGGAGTTACATCAGTTAAGAATTTGGCCGATAAGCTTTAGGGTCACTCTTAAAAGCCTCTACTGAAAGTCATGGCATTGAATTCAGTCCTAGATAAATCAGCCATAAACAACTGACAATGACTTTCTAAAAATCTCACTCAACAGCACAAACAAAATGGATTAAACTTTTTCATCTTTTTGTCAATTAATGCTGGCAAACTTAATAATTTATACTTGCTCATCTCTGCTTTTTAATTTGCCTATGGTAATCAAATATTCTATTCCAGATCCTTTACAATATGTAAACATTTTAAACCCACTGAATAGTCAGCCCTCTGATGTTAGCACTCTCCAGGACTCCTACTCATTGATCATGAATTTGGTACTGGGAAAACTTGATGGTGATAGAGATAAAGCTATAATGACTTTAGTGAGTGTTTATAAAGTTTAAGAGTTTTAGCTCCGAATCCTGTACTGGTAGGATTTATATAAGGTTGCTGAGAATAAAAGAAACTGTGAAGAGACTCATTTGGAATGTGGATAAATTAAAAAACATCAACCCCCTCCCCCAAATGTTACCTATAACAGGTTCATAATTTCCTTATTGGAGGGAGGGAAGGGAAGGATAGGAATCTCATCTCTTAAACCTAAAATGAAATAATGTAGTGCCCAATCTTATTCCAGCTGACATCTACTGGTGTTTTGCCATAGACTCCAATGGAAGCAGAACTGAGCCTTTCCTCTGTTATAAGAAAAATTAGCGACTTTTTTGTTTAAAAAAGGGAAATACAAACTTTCCCTGAAAAAAACTTTAATGTGAACCAATATTTTGTAAAAATTAGCATTTAATTATCAAGGTCTTGATAAAAGATTAAGTCATTTAAAATAAACAGATGTAAAAGATTGGAACACAGCAATTTGGATCAGACATTGATTCAGCTGGGCCTAAGCCCTGCACTCGCAGAGATCAAGGCCTTATACAAGGTGTGGGAAAGTCGGCTTCTCAACTATCAAAACAATATTGCTCCTCCCATCCCATGCACTTCCAGTTGCTTCTGGTGGGTCATTTAAATTACTCCTAAGTGGATCAGGAATAAGTTTTCTGCCCCATGACTACTCCATTCATGAGTAGATGAGACCAGAATAGGACAAAAGTTAGCCTGCCTCTGTCCACTGTCACGCTCTGACACACAATTGTTCCATTTTGCCTGAGGTATGTCTGCCTTAATCTTGCATTCTGTCTGGGCTATCTCACAGGCCCCTGTGTAATGGCCTACACCATGCACTATGCCTCTGACCATGGTTAGGTGATAGTGACAAAGGTCACCAACACCAGAGCTGTCTACGGGAGCCACCACCATTCGTCTTCAAGTATGTCTAGATTAGGAATCACAGTAACAGCCGTGTTAGTCTGTATTCGCAAAAAGAAAAGGAGTACTTGTGGCACCTTAGAGACTAACCAATTTATTTGAGCATAAGCTTTCGTGAGCTACAGCTCACTTCATCGGATGCATACTGTGGAAAGTGTAGAAGATCTTTTTATACACACAAAGCATGAAAAAATACCTCCCCCAACCCACTCTCCTGCTGGTAATAGCTTATCTAAAGTGATCACTCTCCTTAAAATGTGTATGATAATCAAGTTGGGCCATTTCCAGCACAAATCCAGGTTTTCTCTCCCCCCACCCCACACACACACACACAAACCCACTCTCCTGCTGGTAATAGCTTATCTAAAGTGACCACTCTCCTTACAATGTGTATGATAATCAAGGTGGGCCATTTCCAGCACAAATCAAGGGTTTAACAAGAACGTCTGAGGAAGGAGGGAGGGGGGGTTGGAAAACAAGGGGAAATAGGTTACCTTGCATAATGACTTAGCCACTCCCAGTCTCTATTCAAGCCTAAGCTAATTGTATCCAATTTGCAAATTAATTCCAATTCAGCAGTCTCTCGCTGGAGTCTGGATTTGAAGTTTTTCTGTTGTAATATCGCAACTTTCATGTCTGCAATCGCGTGACCAGAGAGATTGAAGTGTTCTCCGACTGGTTTATGAATGTTATAATTCTTGACATCTGATTTGTGTCCATTTATTCTTTTACGTAGAGACTGTCCAGTTTGACCAATGTACATGGCAGAGGGGCATTGCTGGCACATGATGGCCTATATCACATTGGTAGATGTGCAGGTGAATGAGCCTCTGATAGTGTGGCTGATGTTATTAGGCCCTGTGATGGTGTCCCCTGAATAGATATGTGGGCACAGCTGGCAATGGGCTTTGTTGCAAGGATAGGTTCCTGGATTAGTGGTTCTGTTGTGTGGTATGTGGTTGCTGGTGAGTATTTGCTTCAGGTTGGGGGGCTGTCTGTAGGCAAGGACTGGCCTGTCTCCCAAGATTTGTGAGAGTGTTGGGTCATCCTTCAGGATAGGTTGTAGATCCTCCTTCCTCAGACGTTCTTGTTAAACCCTTGATTTGTGCTGGAAATGGCCCACCTTGATTATCATACACATTGTAAAGAGAGTGGTCACTTTAGATAAGCTATTACCAGCAGGAAAGTGGGGTGGGGGGAGGTATTTTTTCATGCTTTGTGTGTATAAAAAGATCTTCTACACTTTCCACAGTATGCATCCGATGCAGTGAGCTGTAGCTCACGAAAGCTTATGCTCAAATAAATTGGTTAGTTTTTAAGGTGCCACAAGTACTCCTTTTCTTTTTAGATTAGGAATGAAGATCAAGATAAAGTCAGGGTTACTTAAACCCAACTTTTTTTCCCTAATCTAGACAAACCTTAGCATTCATCTCTTGCCCTATCTACACTAGAATTAAAAAATGTGTGTTAAAAATATACCTTTTACTCTAGTCTAGGCAAGCTCAGAGAATCCTCTGTTGGGGTGATGCTGGCAGCTCCTCACCTCCAGAGCGGCAGATTTTTGCATGACTTCAGGAACTGGGGTCCTCGGCTAGTACCTATGCCTCGCCCTTTGCATGAGTGTGCTATGTGGAGACTTCTACAGGTTTGGAGCATCTGATCTATTCTGTCAGCATCTCTGATGCTTCTATGAACACCAGACAGGGTGAATGCAACCTCTGCATGTCATACAATGTAGTGTAGGATTGGCATGTGATCTGTAGTAGCCAATACCTGATACTTCAAAAGAAGGCAAAAGAACTACAGAATGCCTTCCAATGTTCAGGGGGAGCAAGCATACACACTGATACATGTACTCCTTTGTGGAGTTCAGCACGTTCTCCTCTTTAGTGGCTGGCACGTGAGAAGGCACAGCCATAACTCTGCATTCTGCCCACCCCCTTCTTGCCCCTTGTAGGGCACTGTTCACCCTCACGAGAGATGGGGGAGCAGTCTCTGGCTTTCTTTGACTGCAGGGACTGAAATTCTGACTGGCCCTCACCTAAGCCATGCCAGTTGGAAGAGGCTTCTTGCTGCCTCCCCTTCCTATTGTGCACCTATGTAAGGGCCAGGAAGAACATGATCCTAAAGTCCTGACATGGTCACATGTTATTTTTTGACTGCTGAAAGTGGAACCTAAAACTATAGTTCAGCCTCTTAAATGATCAGACCCTCAGCTATAGAGGAGCTGCGACTTTCACAACATTTGAACAAAGATTAGCATTGTTACCTAATTGGTTAGTTATAAACATTCATATCTTAACCAATTTTAAAAGTGTACCTTGAGATTTTCTTTGCTAATTCTATAAGGAGATTGATTAGAATATAGTATTTTAATGTAATATCTTCACCAAAATTCAATCTAAAAAGAAATCATCTCTTCAAAGCTATTAAAGATACTATTCATTGTGTTCTACACAAATCAAACTGTTAATTTTATAGTAATTGCCACATATGAAATGTAGGAAAGTTCTATCAAGTAAATAGGAGTATAAAAATATGAAATCATGTCATAAAGCTACAAGGCCTAGTATCTGCAATATATTAATAATGCTGGAGGGTCACCATCTGGACAACTTCATATAATACCACATGTGCAATTGCTGGTAAATGGCAACTCTAGCATCTGGATCATATTATTACAAATTTTCCTCATCCACATATCATAGCAAGAGGAATTTCCTGACAAATCAGACAGCTGCCAAAAAGTAAAATGTTTTTCTCTTTATTGTACTTTAAATGAGCTCAAAAAGACCTGGAAGTGAAGTCAGCATTGGCGTCCTAGACAGCATTCCCATTTTCTAATTATACAGATGGAACAACAACTCACACAAACACACAATGATTTTTTTAAAGATTATATTTGTACTCTGCCTCTAATTATCATTTTTTTCTGTTATGAGTAAACAAGAACTTATACTACAAACAAATTCAGCAAAAAAAGCATTATTGTGCTATTCCTTTTGTCTTAAAGCAAGTGGTGAAAAATGCATTTATAAAGAAAATAACTGTTAATAATTAGATTTATTGTGACAGAATGACCTCATCAGAACTTGTTAACTTGGCAACAGAAGCCAATGGGCTTTCTAAATGTCTAGTTTCCTTTGATGCAGACATATTCAGATACTTAAAACATGTGCATGAAAGCAGTAATAAATCAGCTATGTGGCATTTAAATTT